TCTGAGCCTTGGTCTGATCACTAAAAATGGGGCTCATAGTCCCGCCTGCCTTACAGATGCCTCGGATGGGCACTGAGGGGTCAGCACCAAGGAAGGGCCAGCCCTCACCCTGTGCTCCCCAGGGGACAGGGCCCAGCAAGATCCGCCGCTGCCCACAGGTTCCCACCCGCCCCCGCGCTCCCTGCCCGCTGCCCGCTGCGGAGAGGTTGCTGCCGCTGGCGGTGGAGGCGAGCCTCAGCAAACACATTTAAATCTGAAGTGACAGATAAAGCGATTTACGGCGACAGTTTAGCGTCAGATCGCTTCCCACAAGGCAGTCGGCGTCCCCGGGCCCTGCTTGCTAGTCCATCAAGGCGGTCTCTAAATCACTGACTCCGAGCGGTGGCCCAGGGACAGCGCGGGGGGCCGGGCTCCTGGGGGCCCTGCCGGCCGCAGCGGAATGAGGCGGGAGTTTGGCCGACTTGGGCGGCAGGAGGGCACGAGAGGCGCGGGCAGACCACAAATCAAAGCCCCAGGACTTCAGGCAACAGAGCACCACTTCACGCCTTACGTTAAGTAAATAAGCGGCTTACAACTCCCAGGGAGGCCAGCGTGTCGCTGTGAAGCATGGCTGCCCCGGCCTGCACGCCGGCCCAGGCCCGGCCCCTCCCAGGCCTCCCTGACCCTGCCTCCCCTCCTGCCACCTCCCGGCAGAATTAATGGGTCCCGGTGCGTGGGGACGCTCTGTGTGGCCCTTGTTTCCAGCGCTTTGTCACATTATATCCTACTTAGCAGCTCTGGCTCTTGACTTCCCCTCAATAATGTCCTGAGGGCTCCCCATGTGCCAGGCGTGGGGCCCAGCCCTGGACCAGCCTGAGCTCATATCATCCTCACGCCACCAGGCATGAAGCCAATGATGACCCATTTTTCAGATGAGGAAACAGGCTCCGACGGACGGGCCTGGCCGCAGGCGTCGCCGCCAGCAGGAACCCTGAGATTCGGACCCCCCTTCTGACCTCTGTGCCGTGGCCCCGACTCACTGGCCGGGGACACCTTCGAAGTGAAAGGTTCTTTCTGTCTTTGCACAAAGCACCGCCTTCATCCCTGCTCTGTCCTGTTATGCCTGAGGCCGGGGCCAGGAGCCCGCCCGGCTGGCCACGAATGGGGTCTTTCTTTGTGCTAGGACACTTCCTCGCTGTCTGTCGAGAGCTAGGGGAATGCTGGGAACCTCAGGGGCATGGAGACGACCCGGTCAAGGTCATGCCCTCCCCCCTCAAGACACACACTCCAGAAGCCGGAACACCCCCGGGGTGGAGACCCCAGAACCAGAAGAGATGCCAGGCATGGTTCTCCCCAGACACAGCCTGGGGGTCGCAGGCCAGACACTGCCCCCCAGAATCTCTGCTCCAGAATGGGGGCCTGCAGGGGCTCCCTGGCTTGTCTTGCCAGCATGGCAGCCCAATTTAATTAAGATGGATGCTGCGTGCCCCCGTGGGCAGGAGCCGTGGCTGGCACAGATGGCAGGAGCCTAAGGCTCTCCAGGCTGCTAGAGAGCGCGGGCGGCCTTGGCCAGCGGGCTGAGGAGGGTCCCGGGATGTCTGCACTGGGTCTGGGGACTTGGGGGACTTGGTCCTGCCCCTGTGGTCCGAGCCCTGCCATCCACCGGCCAGGCAGTCCCCCTTCTACTCTCTGCCCCAGTAACCCCTCCATGTAACATACCTCACACACCACACACTCACACATACACACACACACACACACACACTCACACTCACACACACACTCACACACTCACACTCACACACACACACTCACACACACACACACACACACACACACACACACACTCACACACACACACGCCAATCACACCTCAAATACCGCCGAGCGGGTAAAAGGCAGCCCTGGGCTGCCAGTGCCAGGGGACCCGTTCAGAAACAGAAGGTGATTTTCCAAAGTCCTGAGAGAGGCCAGGGGCGGGGTCCCTCTGTGGGGCAGGGAGGAGTGAGGTACACAGGCAGGGAGGGTGCCTGGCTCCTGCCCTCTCCAAGGATTCCCCAGGGTTTTCCCAAGAACTGGGGAAATACGCCCCCCCCGCCCAAGGCTCTTCAGCATGGAAGGGATTTGGGGGGACCCAACCCCCCTTTCTTTCATAGGCCCTTCCCAACTCCCCATGCCTCCCCCTCTATGGTCCCTGCAACTGGAGCAAAGCCCAGGCAGCGATGGCACCTTCCCCATCCCCCATTCTGACCCCGGGGACAAAAAGACACCCCCACAAACCCAGGAGCTCTGCTACTGACCTTGAGCCCCCAGCCCAGTCCAACCCACACCAGTCCCCAGGGGCCACTGGCCCCCCATGAAGCCAACATCGCCCTTGGCTTCAACACCAAAAATCTGAACATCTCCACCCCTGGAAAATCGCTCGCTCCCTTTTCCCATTGTGGTGGCTCCACAGTCCGGCGCTGAGAAGCAATTATTCACGGCTAATGATTATAATCAAGTCAAATAGAATTTAATGGACACGCATTCTCTTCCTGCTTGAAACTTTACATATGAATTAAGCACATATGGGTTCCACGAGGCACAGACTAGATTTATGCAGCCCGGAAAAGCCCCTCCATGCCGCGACTTTTTATTCCGCTAATAAACAGGCTGATTTACGGGCGGTGCTGGGCGTGGGGACCGTGATCTCTGCTGCCCCCTGGTGGTGGGCAGTGGAGGCCTCAGCCAAGACAGTAGGGCCCCAGGGA